TGCTGCCGCGGAAGGTCCTCAGGCCTCCTGGCCCCCGACCCTGCTTCCCTCTTTCCCGCCCCGGGCCTGCCGGCAGAGCTCGGCTGCCCTGTTTGGCCTGCGCTGTAGTTTCCACATCTGTTGTCCTGACCAATTTCCGCCATCAGCAGAGTCCTTCTCATCGAGTCGTAAATCTTGGGGAGGGAGGGAGGGAGGGAGCAGACACCCCCAAACCCACACAGTTCAGTCTGGTGAATGTGTGCTGGATGGATGGGGGCCTGGGGGGGGGGGGCGCTGGAGGGTGGGGGGAGTGGACGCCATCTGGGAGAACGTCTCACTCCCTAACTCACTCGTTGTGGGAGCGACTCCCGTGTTTGGCCCTGAGACAGGGCTCCCCACTCGAGAGAGGGGGGCTCCGCTGGGGACAGCGAGCACCCTTCTGCTTCCCCCGGGAGCCGCTTCCAAAGCTGTCCTTCTGCTGGGCGCTGGCCGGGGAGATGGGTGCACGGGGAGCCTGGCCGGCTTTCGGGGTGACTCACTTGAGGATGACCCCGTTGTTTGAGGGACTGGGTGTTGCGTAATCAACATTCTGTCCCTCCCCCGTCTCCCCCCACTGAACAATCTGGGATTTTCCATCATTTTGTCAACCTTCCTGGAGGCATGTTGATTTTTCCACTAGAATTTTTTTTATTTTCCTGGAGGGGGGGTGCATGTCCCAGGGCAACCCGGACTCATGGCTGCCCAGAACAACAGGTTCTCTGCCCAGGGGAACGGCCAGCGTGACCCCTCCTGCTCCCCAGGGTCCAGCCTGGAGCTGGACCACCCCACTCCAAGGGGGCCAGAGAGGGTGGGGGAGCTGCCTGCCTCCTCCCCCAGGCCGTGATGACGTCCCTTCTGACCCGCGGGGGCCAACTCGTGTTCCCTCCGTTCAGAAGACGCCCCTTGGCTTCTTCCCCCTTCCCCGGTTCCCTTTGTTTCAGCCCATGACACATGTGTGCGCAGGGCAGGTCTTCAGAGGCCAGCCTCAGTGATGCGAGTTGGGTCAGTGCCTGCAGTGACCACGTCTGGAACCCAGCCATTACAGGAGTCAGATTCATAGGAAGTCTTGAAGATGTGGGCAGACGACCAGGGCTTCTGGAAACGTCTATGGAGAGATGCATTGCTGCCTGAAAGGCCTGGGACATCCAGGGAAAAGTCTCAGCTCCCGACCCCACCCCCTGCAACACACACTTTATTTTATTTTATTTTGGCTGTACCCAGCGGTGCTCAGGGCTTACTCCTGGCTCTGCTCTCAGGGTCATTCCTGGCAGTGCTTGGGGGGGGCCAGGTTGGCCATGTGCAAGGCTAGTGCCCTGCCCACTGCACTGTCTCTTTGGCCCCTCCAAGGCTGGGTGGGAGCCTGTAGCCTCGACCAGTTTACCTTGCGTCATTTCCAGACCTCTTCCGTGAGTGAGCAAGAGAGCCATGGGGTTAGTGAGCAGAGGCTGTCCTCGCCCGCTCTTCCTCACCACCCCGCGGCCAGCTTCCACAGTGCTCACTTCCTCTCTGCTTACTCCTGAGGTCCCTGCCGCCACCTTCCGCATCCAGGCCACTGCCCTTTGTCACTGTAGTGGATGCGACAGCTCGGACACCCCTGCGCACCCCCCCCCCCCCCACGGGCGTCACTCCCTCCTCAACCAAGGTTGCCGAGAGCAGCCAGGGTGAGCCTCTTCCCTCGCCCCACTTTCTAAGAGTGTGGTCAGAGAAACAGGACAGAAAACGGGTCCTACTCCCCAAACCTACTTTCAAACCCGCAGTTGGGTGGCATTGAGATGCATTCAGATCACTGTGCAGCTATCAACGATGTCGCCCCGCAAACTCTCCCACCTGGCCGCTCTGCCACTCAGTGCCCATGGGGTGGTTCTTCATACCACTCCTTGCTTCAAGCCCTGCACGCGCACCCCCCCCCCCCCAGCCCCCAACACCCGCTTCAACTTTCTGCCCACGCATTTCACGTTTCTTGCAACCTCCTAGCCTTGGATTTGTCTGTCACTGGCTGAGCGTAATGTGAAGGGACACCCAGGTGTCCCTTTTAGCAAATGCCACATTTGCTAATCCCTTCTGTCGGGGGGCTCGGGGCTGCTTCCTCCTCTTCACTTTTGTGGCCGAGGCTGCTGTGGCCGTGGTTGTCTAGATGTTCTCTTTGAGATTGTTTTCAGCCATCTGGGGGTCTAAGGTAACTCCCCCACCCTCGCTAAAATAACAGATAACCCTTTTGAAAGCGAGCAAAACGCTTGAATAGACATTTCTGCAGAGAAGGTGGCCAATAAGCACAGGCTAAGGTGCTCCACCTTGACTCCCCGGGGGAAATGCAAATCAGAGCTGCAGAGCGATGCCCTTTGCCCCCAGCCGGTTACTAATATTAAATGTTACTGTAAGAGCACAACAGGAAAGAACAAGTGTTGGCAGGTCCTGGCACCTCGTGCCCAGCTGGTGGAATGTGCAATTGTGCCACCACGTCGGGGAGAAGAGGATGGTAGTGCTTTGAGAAATCAAAATGAGAATTGTCCTAAGGTGACCTTTGGAGGGGAGAGAGGGGGCTTGTGTCTAGGGGCTCTTCCTGGCTCTGGGCTCAGGAGAGACCCCTGGCGGTGCTCACGAGACTGTGCGTGGTGCCTGGGATGGAGCCAGAGTCGGCTGCATGTAAGACAAGCATCTTACCCCTGTACCACCTCAGTCCACAAGGTCCACAACATTTCAAAGCGTGTTGAAATGCCACTGTACCGCTCCTCGTAGAACTGCCCCCCTGGTTGTCTGTCTTACTCAGGATGAAGTGATGAGTTCTGCAGCGTACTCTGCACTTACTCCCACCTCCTTGTGCTCTTCTGCTGTTTGGGGCAACACAAATACATGCCCTCTCCATCTCTGGGCCTTCCTTTATTCCAGCCACTCTCTCTAGGTGCTCCAACTCGGGGTGGTATTGCGGTCACCCAGACTAAAAATGCATACTTGCAAGAGCTGGAGCGATAGCACAGCGGCAGGGCGTTTGCCTTGCACGCAGCCAACATGGCCGACCCGAGTTCGATTCCTCCGTCCCTCTCGGAGAGCCCGGCAAGCTACCGAGAGTATCTCGCCTGCACGGCAGAGCCTGGCAAGCTCCCCGTGACGTATCTGATATGCCAAACACAGTAACAACAAAGTCTCCAATGGAGATGTTACTGGGCCCGCTCGAGCAAATCAATGAACAACTGGAGGACCGTGACTGTAACCGTGACTTGCAAGAGCAGGAGGTAGCTCACACAGAGCGTTGTGGTGCCCTGGATTGGATCCCCACACTCCGTAGCTCTCTGAGTATCCCCACCTGCATCCCCTGGTGGTCCCCATGCATCCGGGCCTGAGCATCGCTGGGCGTGGCCCCTCTGAGCCCCCCTATGGGTTTCTAGGCTCTGTTCCCCAAAGGTTCTGCCTCAGGGACTCGGGTGAGGTGGAGGATTTGCATTTCTCAAGGCTTTTCTTAGGTGATGTCAGTGCAGCTGGTCTGGGGACCTCACTTTGAGAACTGCTGGGTCTAGAGGACTTTTCCTGTTTTGAAAACCCGGAGTCCTTTCGATCATGGCCCCAGTGTCTCTTGCCCTGGTGTCCAGACTTTGAAAAATTCTGACTTTGTTTTAGCAAGCATCTCCATGTCTCCCTTGAAGCCTGAATTGCCATTACATTTGTTTTTGGTTTGTGTGAGTGTGTGTGTGGCGGGGGGCGGGGGAGGGGTGTTGTGAAGGAGAACGTCTAGAGATGCTGAGACTACTCCTAGCATGGTGCTCTGGGATTGCTCCTGCTGGTGCTCAGGGGATCACGTGGTCTCAGACGTCAAACTTGGGCTTCCTGTGTGCTTAAGCGCATGCCCAGCTCCTTCAGCCATTTCCTCACCCAATGGCCGTTGTATTTGAATGTTTAACTGGGTGAGTAATAGTTGAGCGCTGGGAGCTCCCACATGTACAGCCTGGTCTCCGGCTTCTCGGGGGGCGGGATCATTTCAGCTTGACGCGCTGCTGGTCTCTCTCCTTCCTCACACATCACCAGTGCTAATAGTTGTTTGGGGAATGAGCGAGTGTTGTTACTTCCTTTGCCTACAGAGCTGGATGTGAGCCCGGGACACTGGCTGTGTGAACAGACGGGAGAGCAGGGGCTGGGGGCTGGGGAATCATAGACTTGCCCAGAAAAAAAAGGCATGTATGTTGGTCATCAGGGTGCAGGACCTTCCACACAAGAACTACTTTTGTTTGTTTGCTTTGGTTTTTGGTTTTGGTGCCACACCGGTGGGACCAGGGATCAAAACCCCAAAGTACAGGCTCCAAAGTGTTTGTCCCTCTGCTCAGGAATCACTTGTGGTGGGGCTCGAGAGGCCACCTGGGGTGCCAGGGATCAAACCTGGGATACCTCTTAGGGGACTAGCACATAAAGGAGAGACTCCTACACTGATGAGGCTGTAACAGATACTTCTCAGCGGACGTCCCTCAGACTTCCTAAGGCCTGAGTGGATAATGATCCACTAAGCTTTTAGGTTTGAGCTGTAATTGACATGACATCATGTTAGTTTTAGTTCAATGCCCCAGTGATTGGATATTGGAGATATGGGGAGCTGATACCCATGCTGAGTCTAACTACCATGTATTTCATGGCCACGGGCCTCCCGTTGTTCATCGATTTGCTCAAGCAGGCCCAGTAACGTCTCCATCATGAGACTTGTTGTTACTGTGTTTGGCATACGAATACGTCACAGGGAACTTGCCAGGCTCTGCCGTGTGGGCGAGATACTCTCGGTAGCTTGCTGGGCTCTCCGAGAGGGGACCATGTATTTAGAGTTTATTATTTACTTTTTGGGGGGAGGGGCACCCAGAGATACTCAAGAATGACTCTCTGGGGGTTGTACCCAGTAGTCATGGGGGCACCTGGGATTCAAACCGGAAGCACGGGCTCCAAGGCGTTCGTCTCGCCAGGCTTCTGGTTTTTATTACTCACGTGCTATTTTTCTTTTTCTCTCACAGACATGGAATGCGCGGATGTTCCGCTGTTAACGCCAAGCAGCAAAGAGATGATGTCTCAAGCGTTGAAAGCCACATTCAGTGGTTTCTCTAAAGAGCAACAACGGCTGGGAATTCCCAAAGGTAGGCTTGGTAGTCGGTAGGCCAAAAAAAAAAAAACCAACCAAAACGATGGGAACGGATCTCTAGGCGCATTTTTTTCCTCAGGACTACCGACCTCCCTTCAGTGAGCAGCTTGAGGGTTGTAGCCGATGCCATGAGCTCCCCAGCCAGTGCTCCCCAGTTCCAGGTTCACAGTGCCCTCTTGACCTTAGAACAGCAGCTCCCTCCAAAACTCTTTTGTTAGAAGAAGGGAGAATCTTGAAAAAACTCCACCCAGGCCATATCCCAGGCCAACTGCTGGTCATATCGGCACCTTCAAAGCTCGTGATTCTAAAATTGTGAACACGTTTGGAAAACATTGCCTCAGAGTCCTGCAGGATCTCCATTGGATGAACTGCGCGAGCTGTATTTCTTGGCAGTTCCGTTTGCTCTTGGCTGTTACTTGTTCTTTGGCAAGTGGTGTTTCCACTTGCGTATTATTGTCTGGAAGGGTCTGCTTAGGAATGTTCGGGAGGAGAAGTGTCAGAAAGAAGAAATCACCCCACCACTGGTTGCAGAGAGAGTGCATTGTTCTCAAGTTAGAGTAGCACTGTTTGTGGACTGGCGAGTTAGAATAACGCTGTGTGGACTGTTGAATTAGAACAGTGTTGTGGACGGTTGAGTTGGAGTAGTGCTGGTGTGGACTGTTGAGTTCGAGTAGCGGTGTATGGACTGTCAAGTTAGAAGAGCCCTGTATTTGGACCTGGCTGCTCCTTCCAGAGTTGAGGCCCCCAGTCTGGTCAAGCCAAGTCTGATGTAGAGTCCCTGAAAGTCTCTGCATGCCTTTCCTACTGGCTCCACACTTCTGCTAATACCAGCATACCAACCCCTTTGTAGAATCACAAGACTGAGTCGAGTGAAGTCCTACCGTTAGGTTTTCCAACGTCTCCGGAAGTCATCTGCTAGAGAGAGGGCCTAGCAGCTTTGAGAGTAGGTGTGCTGTGAAAACCTCAACAGCCATCAATCATCCCAGCTCTTACGGGTCATTTTCTGGCACTGTCATGTGGAATCCGGAGCCAGGCACGAGGATTCTGTGGCGCCTGGTCCATAGACCGCTCCAGGCAGGGCCTGTGATGTGTGTAATTCAGACACCTCCACACGTTGTTTTTATTAATTACCGTTTGACTGCCTTGCTGGTACTAGGGGCGAGGATGATTACTAGCCATAATTAGCTATGATAAAAATAATTATGGATAATTAAGAACAACGGTCTCAAGTGTAAGCATTAAGAGCAGGAAGCCAGGCAGGTGCAGTCTCCAAGATACACTTGATTTTATTATTAGTGTGAGTCAAGAAGGCATTCAGCCTCTTGGGCCGAGCTTCCCTAAGCTGTGTCAGGGGAATGGGGCAGGGAGAGAGAAGAAACCTGGCATCTGGATGGAGGGAGGAGACAACTGTTATTTTCTGGGTTGTGGTGAGCCTGTAGCTGGGAAGACCAATAGGAAGGCAGAGGGAGGTGTCCATGACACACGGGGACAGGCTGAGATGCTGAATTACAGATCAACCTCCATCAAGTTCGGTCTGGGGCAGAGAGATTGTTCAGTGGGCAGGGCGCTGGCCTTCCAGATGGCTGACCTTGGTTCAATCCCTTACCTCCGCTATGGTCCTGGAGTCACAGAGCCAGGAGTAGTTCCTGAGCATTGCCAGGTGCTCCACCTGGCACTGCCCCAAGCTCCATCCTGCCCAAAAACACAAAAGGGAAAAAGTGGGTGTACTCGTTAGCTGCATCTGACCTGCCCTGTCTTCCTCTGATGTCTTCCCAGACCCCCGGCAGTGGACAGAAACCCACGTGCGGGACTGGGTGATGTGGGCTGTGAATGAGTTCAGCCTGAAGGGCGTGGATTTCCAGAAGTTCTGCATGAACGGCGCGGCGCTCTGTGCCCTGGGCAAAGAGTGCTTTCTGGAACTGGCCCCGGACTTCGTCGGGGACATCTTATGGGAACATCTGGAGATCCTGCAGAAAGGTAAATGGGGTTCAAGCAGAGAGTTGGGCCGCCTGGCCAGACCCTGTGATGGGATACCAGGCAGTTATCCGTGGAAGCGTGCCAACGTGGCTCCTAGCCTGGGCCAGGGCAGGGATCAGCATCCACCCGAGTTTCTTCTCCTTCTGGTCTCAGGTTTGGATGTCAATCTTGAGGAGGCTCAGAGGGTTATTTGTGAAGCTGGTGGGGGTGCACCCCACCTGCACCCCAAATCCTGATCTCAGATACATTCTCTGTTCACGTGCTGCTATGCCCACAGCCAATCACGTTCTCCCCAGCAATCTTGACACCCACTCCCCAATCCACAGTGGACACGGCCAGCCCTGCAGAGCACTGTGGTGACCATCGCTCCCCTGGAGCAGGAGCAGGGGTTATGTTGGGACACAGTGTCGCAACCTTGTAATGACATGGCCTCCTGGACCAGCCTCCTCTAACCTTTTTGGACAAAGTGACTCATGGACCACAGTCCTGGCTGGGGATAGGAACAGCGGCCGGCTGCAAACTTGGGTGTTTTTGCGCTTATTTTTTTCTGAATGTCTTCTTAAAATAAATGGCAGTTACCAGCAGTCAGCTGTGCCCTGCAGCTGACTGTAAGCCTAGAAGCCCGCTGCCCTCCGTGACCCAGGCCCACCCTTTCCCTGTGGTCGCTGGCTCCGACCCTAGGCACAGGCGTGGGGGGCTGGGAGCCCAGCTCCGGATTAGCACATTTCCCCCCATAATACCTTCCTTTGTTGGAGACTATTTCCCACTCTGCCATGCTCTGCCGAGACCCAAATTAGATCCCGGAGTGCAGCCGTGTTATCTTTCTTCCTTCTCTTCGGTTTCTGCTGAGGAATAAATATGACTGAGCAGAGTCAGGGTGAGGGGGGAGGTGGCGCTGACTCCTGGCTCGGCTCCAGGGCCCGGCATTTCTGGGGGGAACTGCACAGGCCTCTCGAAACTCCAACATGTGGCCCGTGTCACCGTGCGAACGCCCACGCATCGGCGTGGATGGGAGCGACCTGTTTATAGAGGAAAAGATAGGGCAGGCGCCTAGCAGAGCTGATGTAACCGCCGGCTTATAAATACAGCAGACTGTGAACCCGAATCCATCCAGTGTCTGCCCCCCTCTATTTATGGCCCTGCAGAGACCAGGTGTTCTGACGTGACTAACCCTCTGCTCACCCTCGTCCTCCAATCAGTGGACGTATTTCACCACCTCATCGTCACCGCCGTCTCATCGGTGCACCTGTTGGTTCATTTTTCCTATCCAAAAATTAGTTTATAACTTTTAAGAAAAAAAGACGTGTGTGTGTGTGTGTGTGTGTGTGTGTGTGTGTGTGTGTAATACCTACCATGATTTGGCAATGAAATACAGTAGCATCTCTTTTTTTCCAAGGTGATTGGAGGTCAGTTTTCTTTTGGATTCTCCAGTGCCCCTGGGTGAAATAGGAAGGATATGTTCTCTTGTACTTGTCAGGAGCTTCGTATTAGTGAGGAAATGGTCTCTGTGTCCCCTCACGGCTCTTTGGTTCTCTGGCCTGTGTTCTTTATATGATCACAGAGAGCCCTCCCAGCTCCCTGACATGGGCCTGTCTTTCTTCCTGCAAAGATCTCACTGCAGCGAAGTTGACGCGGATGAGGAACTAACTGAAGTGAGGCTGGAGAGAGAGTGCAGTGGTCGGCGCTGACCTTGCAGGCCGCCACTCCCTGTTCAGTTCTCGACACCCCCTAGGGTTTCCCCAGAGCCCTGCGAGCAGTTATCCCTGAGCGCAGAGCCTGGAGTAAGCTCAGAGCACCTCTGGGCGTGGCCCCCAAGCCCAGGAGGAGAGAAAGAACCGAGCGTGTTTGAGAGTTGACGCCCTCTCGCCCTCCGTGTCCAAAGTGTCCTGTTCAGGTCGGGGAATGGCGAGCCAGGAGATCTGTGCTCTGGTCCAGCCCCGGCTCTGAATCAGCTGGAGCCGAGGAACATAGCTGCGTGGGGTGGGGTGCCGGGCCGGAGGTACAGGGGCCGCTTCCATCTGATAAGCCGTGAAAGCCAAGCGCAATCATTTTCATCTCCGCTGGGAACTGCTACTCCTGCAGGCAGGGGCTTGCTCCCTGCCGGTCTCTGCTCCCAACAAGCTATCAAATACCTGAGGAAAACCCCACTCCAGCCTTCGCACTCGGTGTCGGCTTCCACTCGGGAAACGGGGGCCAGACTGCCCCGTCCCACAGGCCCTGGGTGTCCAGGGCGGCCCCACGCTCACTGGGCGCAGATCCAGAGCCTCTGCTCTCTCTCCCAGCTCGCTCCACGTTCCTTCCTCATTCCTCTGGGAGCCGCGTCTCCTGTCTCAGGCAGGCCTGCACCCCGTCACGGTCCACTCAGCAGCCACATGAGCAGTGGCCAACTTCTGACCGGGCGCCGTGAGCAGGGGCTGCCGAGGGCGTGGCGAGATCCCGCACCTCAACAGGCAGACGGGAGAAGAACAGGCCAGGGATGCCGCTTCCCTGCCTGAGGGTGCCAGGTCATTTGTGGAAAGCTCTGGAACTGGTCCTTAAGAAGTTTGGGTAGGGCTTCCGGTGACTTCTGCAGAGGTTTCCCAGACCTGTGAGGCTAACGCGGCAGCTGCCCTCATTCCCTCCCTCCAAGACGCCTCCCCGGGGCTCTGTCCAGGCCGAGAATCCCCCTTTTGCAAAGACAGATGATGATAAACTTCACCGGACGCCTTGCTCTTGGCCTTGAACAGACCCCGTGGGGAGAGGCAGACCCCCGCTCAGTTCCTGAGCAGGTTCTTGGAGGAGAGGCCGAAACGGTTGTGGGGCTTGCATCCCGGACCCCCGGGGGCCGAGCATCACTGGATCTGACCTCTCTGTCCGCCCCCTTCCCTGTCTCTTGCAGAGGACATGAAACCCTACCAGGTGAACGGCGTCGGGAGCTACCCCGAGCCCCGCTATTCCTCGGATTACTTCATCAGTAAGTGCCCTCTCCGCCTCTGCCCTTGTCTTGCCTGCTACCCTGGCCTCAGGGAAGCTGACCACAGACTCCTTCGGTGACTCATCGTCATTCTCAACACGTGGTTCCATTCAGCTCTGTCCTAGGTTATCCCCGCCCTGCAGAAGGCATTCACCTCCACACCCGTTTTCTTCTTATTTTATTTTTTTTTAAATTTATTTATTTTGGTTTGGGGAACACACCTGGCAGAGCCTGCCAGCTTACTCCTGATTCTGCACTCAGTGCTTCTTCTCAGGGACCACATAGAGTGCCAGAAAATCCAATCTGGCAAGCTCTTTACCTGTTGTACCATTTCCCCAGGCCTGTAAAAAAAAAAAAATTATTTTTCTTTTTCTTTTGGATTTGTTCTTGGGCTCTGGATCACTCCTGAGCTAGGGGGACCCTCTGGGGTACTAGGGATTCAATCTAGAGTTGGCTGCTGGGTGCAAGGTTAGTGCCCTGTCTGCTGTACCACCACTCTGGCCCCTTCACCTCATTTATTCAGCCGCACAGTCCCGCTGCTCTTCCCTTTTTCATAAGGCTTGAGATTAGCCAGAGAGATGAGCCCTTGATTCCCCCTCTTACACCTTTCTGAATCCTGTGCCTTGATACGAGGGTTGGGGGCTCAGAAGTTTGGATCCTGTGCCCTGCTAGGAGATACCTCGCCTGCTGGAGAAGGGGTGAGGAGGGGAGCTAGGCGGGGGCCTGCCTGCTCCCCTAACTTTCAAAGGGTAGTTTCACAGCGTCTCTAGGTGTCTGCGCCTCCCCGGCATGCTTGGGGACCCTGGGGACTCTTTAGGGATACTCAGTATCCTGTGCAGGCCTGAAGGCTCCATCCTCAGGCCCAATGATGCAGTACAGATCCGGGGTGCTGGGGTCCCCTGAACATGGGCGTGGAGCCCGGTGCTCCATACCTAATGCCTGTTCTCCTGCTTTGAGCTCTCTCTCAGGCCCTCATTTTGTTTTCTTCCCCTTTTTCGGCACAGGTTGGGGTCGGGGTGGTGGTTGGGGGCACATCCGGCTGTGCTCAGGGCTTACTTCTAGCTCTGCACTCACAGATCGTTCCTGATGGGCCCCATGAGCCATATGGGATGAGGGGGATCCAACCTGGCTTGGCCACATGCCAGGCAAATGCCCTACCCGCTGTACTATCAATCCGGCCCCAGACCCTCATTTTGCACTCTAAAGATTTTTACTGAAAGTAATGTCAATAGTATGAACGAGGTACCAGACCTTTGCTCTCGCTCAGAGCGTACAGAAAAAGGAGAGATGGGAAAATTTAGTCAGAGAAGGGAAGTACATTATCCAGGACTGTCGGGACCAAGCCCCTTTGAACTGACAGTGAATTCTGTTTGCAGTCTTGGGGCATCTGCCTGCCCCCGGCGCCCCTGGCAGGCCCCAGTGAGTGATGGGTGGCTGCAGTTCCCTGTCTCAGTTTCCGTCTCCCAACTGCTCGCCTCTGTGTCTGCAGGCTATGGTATCGAGCATGCTCAGTGCGTCCCTCCCTCGGAGTTCTCGGAGTCCAGCTTCATCACCGAGTCCTACCAGACACTGCACCCCATCAGCTCTGAGGAGCTCCTGTCCCTCAAGTATGAGAACGACTACCCCTCCGTCATTCTCCGGGACCCTCTGCAGACAGACACCCTCCAGACCGACTACTTCGCCATCAAACAGGAAGTCGTGACCCCTGACAACATGTGCATGGGGCGGACCAGCCGGGGTAGGTCCAGGGCTGCCCGTGCAGCCATTGCTGGCTGTGCTTTCTCGGTTTGGGGGCCACACCCAGCAGTGGTCAGGGCTGGCTTCTGGCTCTGCGCTCAGGGAACCATATAGAGTGCCAGGGATTGGACTGGGGTCGATGTGTGCCAGGCTGGCACCCTGCCAGCCCATCTCATGCAGTTCTGAGTTGCCCAGCATGACCTGCCCTCTGAGGTGTTTGGGTCCTGGTGTTCTTGGACTGCTCAGTGGACCTCATCTTGGCTGCATGTCCACCTTAGCCTGTCCCTAGGGTAAGAACTTTCCATCATGGCATGTCTTCCATGATGACAGAGACCAGAGGTCTGTGAGGGAACGGAATCTGCAGGGAAGCTGATCCCGTTCCTTACTCGGGACCGACACCAGGGGCCTGAGAGCAGTGCTAGTCCTGGCCAGCTTTTAGCTTTCACACGTGCCCCGGGCTGGACTGTGGACCCTGGGCGTAGCACTTGGCTCTTCAGCCTGCTCTCTCCATCCTTCTGTAGCGTTCTTGACCTGGGAAGATGGTTCACCCTTGGTTTATCTGTTCCCTGTTCATATGTGTGGATTTAGATCGAGGACCCAGGAAACACGTATCCAGGGATCTCCAAAGAAAGAGTCCCAAATGGGGGTGACTCATTGCTGACACCATTCGTGGGCAGCGAGGGCATCTTTTACGATGGAGCTGGTGGACTTTAGAATGCAGGAATGGTGACAAGCCACTCTCGGGATTTGCATACTCACTAGGGGACTGAGCCTCAGAGTCCAGCTGTTTTTTTTTTTTTTTTTTTTTTTTTTTTTTTTTTTTTACCATGGAGAAGGTGCAGCGCGTGGGAAGGAATGGTTTATCCAGCCAGGAAGAATGGTCTGATTTCAAAGCATGGAGGTGTGCAGTGGGGCAGGAGGAAGCTGCCCTTTGTGCAGCCTTGGGCTTTGTCCCTGGTTGGTGGGTCTGTGGTAGAGGCCTCTTCTCCCCTCTAGGAGGGAGACCAAGACCCGTGACTTTCCTGGAGGCCTGGGGGCCTTCAACATAGTCACTTTTTTGAGCTTCAGGCTCACACTTCTTCCCAGCAGACCTTGGGAGAAACCCTAGGCCCTCCCTGGGGAAAGCCCTCGGGTCCATCTGAACCTGTACTCCTTCTCTGTACCCCAGGTGCTTGTGTTTCAGCCCAGGGGTTGATGAGTGGGGCCAGTGTTACCTTCCCCTTTCTGACTTGTTGACTTTGGGGGTGCCTGTCTATTTACACATGCACACACGCGTGTATGGGGGTTTCTCCTTTACTCCCAGGCAGATTAAAGCGTGAAGGAGAGCAGCGTCCTTTGTCCTGAGGCTGAGAGGCTGAGGCTCTGTGTTTGGGGCTCGACCCTCTTGGGGCCTCTTGTTTTAAACTTGCGTCTGGCTTTGCATAGGGATGAGGGTCTTTCTCCCCACTTTTCCCGTGGTTCTTGGTTCTGCTCCTCACCACCGCGTCACCCCCCAAATGGAGAGTCCGGGTGTGAGCCCTGACTCAGGCTTCCTCCTGCCTCCATCCCACTAAGCCACGCTTTCCCCCTTGCTGCTGGAGGAAAGGCCCCTTTGATCGGGCTTCCTTATGTGCACGTCTGAGGGGCTGCAGACAAGGGGCTGCTCTGATTGACCCGGGCCCTGCTGGTCTCGGTCTCGATGGAGAGTGAAGCCGGGTGCTTATTGTCGTTCAGAGTAAGCACAGTGTTCGCATCCTGCCTTCCTGTTCACAAAGCGCTGCTATGCCCCGTCCGCTGGACTCTGAGAACGGCCTTTGTGCAGGCGCATCGTGGGCTGCGGCTCTTTGGAGGACTCAGAGCTCTGGGCCGGAGCCGAAGAGAGGGGCCGGGCCGTGCATGGCGGGGTGGCACTCAGAAAAGCTGTGTTAGCGGGCACCTGAGGGGCCAGGTGTCCTGCTGGAGCTGAGTTGGCATCACTGAGTTGGCATCACCAAGTGGGTCTTGTCTGAGTGCATGCAGCCCTTTTCGAGAGGAAAGACCCGTCAGCGGAGTGACTGGGAAATGGAAATGCCATGCCGGCAGGCAGCTGGCCGTCCCCCTCTGTGGCCTCAGGCACAGCCTCGGGCTTATGTTGCCTTGGTGGCCAGAAGGGGGGGGGGGGAATCCCCTGGGAAACTCGGCTGTCCTGTTGGTGGACGGTGTTGTCCAAGCCATGCAAGCTCTGGGACACCAGACACATCAGCTTGAAAATGGCCTTGGGACCTGTGACTTGGTGACTCTGGCATGTTCTTCCTACATAGAGGTTCTCTCTCGTTCTCCCTCTCTCACTCTCTCTCTCGCTCTCACTCTCTCTCTCTCAGGCTTTGGGGTGTCGGTCTCACAGGGAAATGGAGTGACCCCTGAGAATGGGGGGCACTGGGAGGAATGAGCACCATTGTAAGAGCTGCAGATGCTGGCCTGGCTTGTTTGGGAGAGGCCGTGGATGCTGACTGGACAGGTTTCCCTGAGTTGTCTGATGTACATTTTTCAGGGGATGGTTTCTCCCCCGTGTTGAACATCCCTCAGTAATAGCGCATGCGACCTGGTCTGTGTAGGGCCCAGGGCTCAGTGTGCTTCCGGTGTGCCACTTTCCCTGTGAGGGGAGGAGATGGGGCACATCCGTGCCTGCCTTTCTACTGTCAACACTATTAGTGGGGACACGCCTTTCAGGAACTTTCCGGTGGCCAGTGACAGATTTTGGCCATGGAAACAATACCCTACAGGACTGTTTGACCTGGGGGAGTCTTCACTGCTTCAGGTGGGGAAGGTACAGGGCCGTGCTGTTCCCTGGGCTGTGCTGATTTCCGTACCCCTTGATTCTCCTCTACTTTATTTATTTATTTATTTATTTTTGCTTTTTGGGTCACACCCAGTGATGCTCAGGGATTATTCCTGGCTCTGCACTCAGGAATTATTCCTGGCGGTGCTCGGGGGACCATATGGGATGCCGGGGATTGAACCCAGGTCGGCCGCGTGCAAGGCAAACGCCCTACCCGCTGTGCTATCACTCCGACCCCGATTCTCCTCTACTTTAAACCGGGCTCCTGTAAAGTGTCCAGGCGCAGAGCATTTTAAGAAACGCCCTTTCATCTCTTCGATATGTCGTTTTCTTCCTCCTGGTCTTCACCCTCCATCCCTAATCCCACCCTTCCCTCCCCCAGCCTCTCTCTCCCATTGGGGTTTTTGTCCCTGTGGAAACGTGTCCGAGCTTTTATGCAACCACAGCAGCTGTTTATAACCTGGTCTGGGAAATCAATGCACTTGCGTGATCTCGTGGCCAGTGACGAATGTCCAACGTGAGTCAGAGGCTCTGTGATGGCCCGGGCCTGCTCTCTCGACTCTTCCCTCTCCTGCACTTGCCCCAAGATTCCATTACGCCGGATGATTGGACTCGAGATGAGGAAGGGGTGGGTTTCTGTCGAGAAGCAGGACAGGCTGTTGGTTTTGTTCTCCTTAGACCGCCCAGCAAAAGTAGCTCCCGACATCTTTTCTCTGAGAAAGCAGAGAGGCAGAGAGGCATCTGGGAAAAATACAAAACAAAACAAAACGAAACAAAAAAGTAGCACGTGGGTTCCTGGCTCCTGGGCGGTCCTCCCGCATCTCTGAGTCTCATGGTGCTTTCACTTCCAAGGTCCAAAACCCTTCACAGAATTGGACGTTTTTATTCAGTCAGAGTGAGAGAGTTCCAGGGATACGGCACTTGCCTTATACGCGAACCCAGGTTTGATCCCTGGCACCGCATAGGTCTCCCTGAGCCCTGCCAGGACTGATCCCTGACTGCAGGCCCAGGGGTAAGCTCTGAGCACCACACACTCCTCTCTCGCCCAAATCTGACGTTTTTTGGGGGGAGGAAGAGTTAGGGCCACACCCAGTATACACAGGGGCTGTCCCTGACTCTGTGCTCGGGAGTGGCCCCTGGCGGCCTGTGGGGTACTTGGGTGCTAGGGATTTGAACTGGTGCAGGCAGGACACAGGGCAAGTGCCCTCCCCCCTGTGCTATCTCCCCAGCCCACAATGAGAACTGGGGTATCCCTCCCCTCCTCCCCACCCCACCACTGGCTCCCGTTGGGAGTGGGAACTGAGCCTGGCCTGGTCCCACGTGTTCCTCTAAGTGTTGGGTCGGCTTCATCATCCAGAAACCCCGTCCTCCGCGTGTGATCCGCAACTCTCTGCTTTCTGGCTCCGGAATCCTCGAGGCCCCGAACACAGCTGTGTCGGGCCAAGCGCTGGGAAGCAGGCGTCTCTCTCTCTGCACTGCTGCTCTGGGTGCTAGAACCCAGGACCGCGTGGGTCGATGTGTGGGGGAGGGGCCCGGGGAGTGGGGTCCGGAGGGCGGGGCAGGAATGGACCCTCGACCCTCCTCGTCACCCCCCTCTCCCACGCCAGCAGCCTCTCCCTCCTGCGCAGGGACCTGGCGGAGGGTTTGACAGCTGTCTCTCCCGACCCCCCCTCCCGCCTCCTCCTCCCCCCGCCCCGCCCCCGCCTCCAGGTAAGCTCGGGGGCCAGGACTCCTTCGAGAGCATCGAGAGCTACGAAAGCTGCGACCGGCTCACCCAGTCCTGGAGTAGCCAGTCGTCCTTCAGCAGCCTGCAGCGCGTCCCCTCCTACGACAGCTTCGACTCCGAGGACTACCCGGCCGCCCTGCCCAGCCACAAGCCCAAGGGCACCTTCAAGGATTACGTGCGGGACCGCGCCGACCTCAACAAGGACAAGCCGGTCATCCCTGCTGCCGCCCTGGCTGGCTACACAGGTAGGCGCCCCGTTCCCTGCCGCGTGACGGCCAGGCGTCATGCCCAGGTGCCCGGGGCCCCCCGTGGAGGGAGGCCCCCAGAGAGAGGGAGAAGGGCTGGTCGGGGTCTCCGTGGGGCAGAGGCAGGGATGGGGGGATGCAGATGGCTGCTGGCGTTCCTCGTGACAGAGCAGGAGGAAGAGCTGATTGGGGAAGGGAGCCGTCGGACCCCAGTGTTTGGGGCAGCATGGGTCACCTGCCGCACGGAGGGACTTTTCCTAGCCGGGTCCAGGAGGGTCTTTCTGGACGGAAGAGCAGTGAGAGCCGCTCTCCAGGCCCCCCACGAACTGGCCCGTGCTTTAGACTCAGCCGTAACCGAGCCCTGGCGAGGCCCAGCTGTGCTTGGGTACATGTCCTTCTTCACTCAGAGTGGCCGCATCTTGGCCTTGCAGGGACATCTTGGAACTCTCTCCTTTCTCTTGGCTTTATGAGTGGTTTTATTTTTTTCTCCCAATGGGGGGGGAGGTGACCCCTTGATGCTTGGAGAGGGTAGAGAGGAAGGAGAGAGGTGAGAGGTGGGACATGTGGGCTGTGATGGAGAATCTGAGCAGAGAGAGAGGACCAGTGCCGGGGCTAGGGCCTGACCCAGAACCCACCCACTGCAGAACCCGCCGCAGAACACGGGGTGGGGTCTTGGATAGAAAGCGAACCTGATTTCTGTGACTTTCTAGTGTTCTCTTAGCATTCAAAGGCGGCTTAGAGAGGAACTGCCTCAGTTTCTGTATCGTTTTCTCTTGTGGGGTGGAGTAGGGGTGGGACTCAAGGGGGGGACCCTGGCGTGGATGCAGACAGCAGGTGCGTGTGGGTTTCTGGGGCGCCGACCTCAGAAGGGCCCTGGCGCCTTATTCCTGGGTCCAGGGGAGGCTCAGGTGTGTCTGGGAGAACCGACAGGCCCTCGCGAGCACCCGGATGCTTGGAGAACCGGGCTCCTCCTTCCCAGATCAAAAGTGGGGCTTGGCCCGCAGCCCCCCACAGCCCGAAATCATGCCTGGAGGGAGGACGGAGTCTGTGGGTGGGGTCCTGGGCCAGGAAAGGAGCTTCGGGGTCTCTTCCTCCGGGGGCTGCTTCTGGTGGACTCCATGACCTTCACAGCTGTCTCTCTGTCGTGCCTACCCAGCCGGCCGGTGCGTTGCCCGTTGTCCGAAGACCAGTAGGAGCGAGGGGCCGCAGACTGTGTCTCTCCTCAGCAGGAGCGCGGGGTGTGGCGAGTCAACCTGTAGTTCTCGGGGTAAAAGCAGCTGTTCTGAGCAGTCCTCGGCTCCGTGGCCCCAGTGAGTGCCACCTTTCTCCCTCCTGAGGTGGTCATCGCCGTCATCAGGCCTGCCAGCCTCTGTGCTGTGTCCCCGTAACGGTCTCCCGCCCAGCTCAGTGCCAAGGTTCCGGGCATTTTGTGCCGTAGGAAGACAAAGTGATTTGGTTTTGAGTTCTCAAGTCGGGGACCAGGGCTCCAGGAAGCTCCGTGAGCGTTCGCAGTGAAGTTCTGGCCTCACTCTCGAAGAAACAGAAGTTTCTGGAAACCGCGAGGCCTGAGTCCCACATGGGACAGAAACTTCCCGGAAGGGGCATGCGTCTTTGTTCTTTGTGGGTCTCCTCTGGGGGCCGCCCGCGGACCTTGGTCAGGAACGGCCCATCGCCCGGGATTGTTCCAGGGGAAGGGGTGGTGAGAAATCGGCAGACGGAGGGAAAGAAAGCAGCGGGTGCAGGCCACGGACCTGCCGGGAGCTGGGCTTGAACTGCCGGCAGGAGAGTCAGAACCTGAGTTCTCGCATCCCCGGCACCCGCCCCCTCGGGCTTCTGTGACAGCCCGACTCAGAGCCACAGGCGAGTCTGTCCAGCCTCTGCACGCTCACAGCAGTGGCTGCAACCCGGCTCTGTGAGCTACAGGACTGGAAGGAACTGAGATTCCTTGTCAGGTTGTTTCTGGTAGGGCTTGTTCCTCCCCTCTCCTCCTTCCTTCTTCCTTTCCTTCCTTCTCCCTCCCTCCCTCCCTCCCTCCCTCCCTCCCTCCCTCCCTCCCTCCCTCCCTCCCTCCCTCTCTCCGTCCCTTCTTCCCTCCCTCCATCCCTTCCTCCATCCTTCAATCCATCCTTCCCTCCCTCCCTCTCTCCCTCCCTCTCTTCCTCCATCCCTTCCTCCATATTTCAGTCCATCCTTCCCTCCCTCCCTCCCTCCCTCCCTCCCTCCCTCCCTCCCTCTTTCCGTCCCTTCCTCCCTCCCTTCATCCCTTCCTCCCTCCCTCCGTCCCTTCCTCCATCCTTCAATCCATCCTTCCCTTCCTCCCTCCCTCCCTTCCTCCATCCTTCAATCCCTCCCTCCCTCCCTCCCTCCCTCCCTCCCTCCCTCCTTCCTTCCTTCCTTCCTTCCTTCCTCCCCCTCCTTCCCTCCTCCCGTCCACCCTTTCGCAGGCAGTGAGGCACCTGCGCGTGGACCAGGCCACTGTGGGTTGCAGGTCTCAGCGCTGACCTGGTCACTGGAGTAAGCCAGCCCCTTCAGGCACCTCGCCTGCCATTGTCCCCCCTTAGGAGGGGTGGATTCCCACATGCTCTGGGTGAGGGCTGAGCAGAGAGCAGAAGGCCCTGCCCAGCCCGCCCACACAGCTGCTTGGAGGCAGGTGCCCTGTCCCGCCGCCCTGCCCTGCCCATGGGGAGGCAGAGGGCCTCGGAACCCTCTGGAACTTTCTCTGAACCAAGCAGAGAAGTGAATGCCCTCACTGATAGGGCTTGTTCCTCCCCCTCTCCTCCTTCCTTCTTCCTTTCCTTCCTTCTCCCTTCCTTCCTCCCTTCCTCCTCTCGTATCCCCCCTCCCCCCCTCCCTCCCTCCCTCCCTCCCTCCCTCCCTCCCTCCCTCCCTCCCTCCCTCCGTCAGCACAGAGGGACAAGGAAGCTCAGTCCAGCCCTTGCTGCCGTTGTTGCTGAGTGTCTGAGGATGGTGGGGGGGGGGGGGTGGTGCAGGCCGACCGTAGAGCTGGGCGGGTCCAGACCCTGGCTCATCAGATTTGGGGTGCCCACAGCCGCCCTGGGACAAACTGCAGTCCTCAGGGCTGTGATCTGAAGGCCGGCAGGGCTGGGTCAGGCCGCAGGGCAGCCTCTATTCTGGGACCTGGCCAGCACCTCCTGCCCACACTGGCCTCGGCCCCCTGCCCTTGTTCCCTCCCTCTGGGGGGTGGGAGGGGCGCTGTCGTCAGATACCTCCCAGGGCCCGGGGTGGGGCGGGGAGGTGGGTCCCAGGCACTCGAGCTTCGGAGCACCCTTGAAGGAGTCAGCAGGGGAGGGTCTCTGCTTTCCGGCAAACTCTGGTTGTGCTGTAGTTGGGAACGGCACTCAGGAGAGTGGGGCCCGAGGCGGGGTTCAAGACAGTCACAACACTGCTCCCGCCACTCGTGCTTGCCCGGCCCTGTAGCCCCACGCAGGCTGTTTCTCACGCTTGACCATGCAGTGGGCACCCCTGTGCCTTGATCTGGGCAATGCTCACAGATCATGTGTCCCGGGAGTAGGGGAGGGAGCATGCGGGGCACCTGGGACTTTGCAGGGGAGAGAGCGTGCGGGGCACCTGGGAGCAGGGGCAGACTGTGCGGGAATCCTGGGAGCAGGGGAGAGATTGTGCAGGAGCCTGGGACTTTGCAGGCTTCACGGGACAGCTCCATGACCGCATTGTCCATGTGGAAATCCTTGGGGACCTGCGTTTCCAGGTTCTCACGCACATTTTTCCAACAAAGATAAGAAAATCGCATCAACCTTCAAGGGCTCCCATGGCAACTTGTGAAATTAGGTCAAGGTGTGGGGGCCGATAGCGCGACTCGAAGGCCCGCCTGGGAGCTAAGTTAAGACATCAGATGGGACCCTGGCTTCCACCAGAGTCGCACCTTTGTACCTCAAGGTGAACAGCCAGCCGGTGGCTCTGCCGCCCCTGGGATGACTGAGCTGCATCTGCTCTTACTTGGACATGTACTCGGAGTCTTAGAACAGTCGGATGCAAGGGCCCTGAGTTTCCGGTGTGTGTGATCGACCTCAGCAAAGACTCTCCCGGCAATGCAGAAGTCTCTGATTCTTCTCTTCTTTCCAGTGTCAGTGGCGAATCCTACACTTGGTGTTTCCGTGGCAGAGTAGATGCCCCCTTCTAGCTCTGAGGCGTTGGGTTCAATGCCAGCACTGCCCCCAAACATGTGGCCAGTGCTCTCGAGGGCCAAACAGCTCCGCCTTGCCTCTCTGCTCTCACGCCAGCTTCTGAAAGGGTCGTAGCGGGCACCATGACGCATGCTGTGTCTCCTGTCTCCTGGAAGGCAGTGCCGGGTCTGTCCCTGGGGTCTCGCCTGAAACCTTTGGCCACTGTAAAATGAGAATGGCCACCGGTGGTCTCCGGGGCCTGCACTGAGAGGAGGTGGACCCCCGTCACGAATTATCGCTGTGTCTCTATGAGTCGGGCATTCAGAGTTGCTGGCTTGTCCGTCTGTTTTTTGGAACGTCCTTCCAGAGTGTCAGGAATTCCCCAGAAGGGGAGGGGGCGTCTCGGACTTCTGCAGCTGAGCTGGCCTGGTGGCATTCTTGCCGTCCATTCGAGCCTAGTGCTGGGCCCGGCTTTCAGCTGCAGTTGTGACTCGAGCACCGAGGGGCTCTTCCCCCTCTTCCTGAGAGCAGCGAGGCCCAAACTGTTCTCGAACTGCAGTGACAGTGCCGTAGGGTGCTGTGCAGAGGCTGACGAGTTCCCTGAGCTCCTTGAAGATACATTCAGGACTAACTGGAATTCAACTTTTAGACCAAGACATCACTGAAAAAATAAAATAAAGCGAGGGAGCAATTTGAGAGCTGGAGTTCAGCCCTTGGCACCGCGTACCCACTTCTCCATCTCCGCCACACGGCCAGGCACCGCCCCATTAAAAGGCGGCCAGATTCTCTGGTAGGAGGAAGCCCCCCATGCACCCGTGTCCCCCAGACCTTCTCTCTATGCAGCTTGATTTCTGTCCT